CTTTCATTGGTTACACTTGGTCATTGTTAGGAGTTGTGTTTTAGTGTGCCAGAGTGCCACAAAGATCAAAGTGTATGCTCTAAGAGGGGTTTCTTGGCATTCAAGCCATTGAAATAACCACATTGTTGTTGAACTCCTTCACTAACATGTTGAAATGTGATAGCAAGAGTAGACCGAGGAAGTGAGCTTAAATGTAGTTCATGATGGGTGATAGTTTGGAAGGGAGAAGTAAGGTTTTCAGCGGATGCTAGTGGCCATTGTTTGTAGGGAAGGTTCTTAGTTGAAACCATAGAACCTTCGGGTTTAGGGTGAAGATGTAGGACCTCATGTTATGTTTGTCACCACCCAAAAAGGCCTTTTCCCCATGTCCAAGACAATTGCCAGTCATTTGAACCCGTGTCTAAGAACTCCGGACAAGCTAGTGATGACAACCGTCCCGTGAACTCTAGCATTTAGAGGTTGCCGCCGTGGTGAAGAGACGATAGGGACGAGTGTTGATGATTGTGCACATTTTTTCACCAAAAGGTCCCAACCCCACTGGTCAAGAGAGTGAGTGATTCATTCTTGCTTTGTATGTCATATCATACCCCAGTGAGGACCTTTGTTGCCCATTCATTTATTACTTGGACTTGAATGTTATGCATGGTTAGTCATGGCTGATGAGTGATCTAGTTGAGACTTGCATTGATTCATGAACAAGGCGAGAACTTTTCTTTTGCCTGCTTTTGGTGACCTCGAATGTCGTTTGTGGTGGATGTCGGTTTTGCTTGGAACGGTCCATATGTTAATTGTCATTAGCCATTGATATTCACCACTTTGTGCCCTTTGATTTGTCCCCAAAGTTGTTAGGTTGAGATATTACCTTGTGTGAAATAGTTTGCTTGAGGACAAAAAACATCTAAGTGTGGGGGAGTAATTCGGGCCTAATTGTACACTTTTATCCCCGTTTCTCTTTGGCGTTTGTTGCATTTGAGCTCCTAAAAGGGTCTATTTAAGCTAGGTTTCATGTGCTTCAATGTGTTTCAGAGTCCAACAGGTGAAACCAACCCTAGAGTCGAAAGTTGGAAGAAAAGGCGCAACGACCTGACAAAAAGGAGGATCCAGCCGCAATTCACGGTCAGAGTTTGGAGTTCACGGTCGCCAAGACCGTGAAATGGAACCACAAACCGTGAACGCAGAGCGTCCATAGGAGTTTCGGATGTTACTGACGTCGAGGCAGTTCATGGTCGTAAGACAGTAAACTGGAGCCATGGACCGTGAACGCCATAAGTGAAGCGGCACATTCTAATCTGTGTTCACGATCCCGGCCTGATGTTCACGGCCGTGAAACTGGGATCGTGAACTGGGCGCAATCTGTGTATAAATTGAGAGCTGAAAGGAAGAAGAAGGGAGAGCCCAAAAGTGACAGAAACCTTCTATTTCTTGAGACCCTAGAGAGTGAAAGCACGAACCACGAGGGAGAAGAGGCTAGGGTTTGCTCCAAGTGAAGATTTTGTAAGTTCCTCTTCAAGAGAGGATCTCTACAAGCACAAGGGGAGTTGGATGCATCACAATGATGGTTTCTTTCATCTTCTTTTGTGTTCTTCCTTTGTCTAGCATGGAGTAGTTTCCATTTTCACTTGGGTGTTGTAGAACCCTAACTTTTACCATGTAATTGATTGTGTGATGGTGGTGTTTGATTTAAGAATTGAGGTATTTTTCATGGTGATTGTGCATTATGTGTGCGTGGCAATCTATTGTGCTATTCTAACGTAGCTTAGAGAGAAGCCCCCTTATCTTAAGAGGCCCAAATTGAGCTGGATTTTCTTAGGCATTCCATGCCTCCTGACTAGGTTAATGAAGGGCAAACCTCTAAACTTGAATTAGACACCTAGGTTAATTGTGATTATGCCATTCAAACCTTGGTTTGAGGGAGAAAGTAAGTCAACCCTCAATTGCTTGAGCTAAGAGGGCTACAACTGTAGCCTATAATGCTTTTCTTGGCCTAGCAATTGAGAGGATAGTTTCTAACCATTGTTGCACCTCCTATGGGTCACAATTGCCTTGTCACACTATGATTCATTCGATCCCATGGTTCATCGTAGTTAGTTAGGGGGAAACAACTCTCGAGTGAAGCTTCTCACCAAGAGTTTTCCACTCTTTTACTTTTCAAGTCTTGCTTTTAAATAGTAGATTGTAGAGATTGTAACAAACAACATTCCGCTAGATAATGTTTCAAACAATTGAAGTAGGGGTACATGAACCGGTCTGGGTTGATATTTAAACATACTTGTCCTATATTGCACCCATTTAAGGTTTATACTTGGGCCATAGGTGAGATTTTATTGTGATATTCGGAGCAAGTCAGCCTGCAATCATCCTTTTAGGTAGGGCTGAAAATTTGCCTGTCCCGTCCCTGTCCCTGTCTGACCCGTCCCTGAAGGGTCAAGATGTATAACCGTCCCGTCCCGTCCCTTTCTCCTTCTTGACCCTGTCTGACCCTCAAGGGTTGGGACGGGACGGGACGGGTCAGTGGGTCGACCCTAATCAACACACTACTTTTTTACAAATTACGTTTTGGTACCCAAAATTATTTTTTCTTACAATTTAGTACCTAAATTTTATTTTTTTTACAAATAAGTCCATAAATTTTGATGGTAAAATTACATTTTGGTACCCTAATTTTTTTATTTTTACAAATTAGTACCTAAACTTTTAAAACTTTACAAAAAGGTCCAATGAAGTATGAGATATTTGTTGTTGCTAAGGGTCACAGGGTCAAAACGTGACCCGTCCCTAAGTTGTCCCGACCCGTCCTGGCCCTTACAGGGTCAACAAATGACCCGTCCCTAATATGTCCCTGTAGACAAACTGAGCCGTCCCGACCCTTAGGGACGGGACGGGTCGGGACGGATCAGTGGGTCCTCAGGGACAAGCTTTCACCCCTACTTTTAGGGCTCAGGATGGAGAAGAATGCAACAGGCTTAGTCACTTGGGAGGGTAAGTAATTGATGAGGTACTCTGTTAAAAGAATATGAGATTCTTTTTGAGTTCACATACCTGTTGTACGTTGGTGGCATTGGCTTTGGAATAGATTCACTATCCCAAAGTACAGATTCTTGGCATGGTTAATCATATTGGATAAAGTTGTCACTTGTGATAAGCTAAAGATCTGGGGTAAAATAACTTATGATGCTTGCTTGGTGTGTATAATGGAAAGGAAAGTATAGATCACATCTTTTTAGAGTGTACCTATACTAAGTAGTTCTTAACTACGGTGTTTGGTAGTACCTTGCAGAACTGGCCTTTTATATAAGATGATATCCTGAGCATTGCTTGTGCTGAAGGAATAAAGGGAGGTAGTTTTGGCAGGGTGTTTGGATCCTAATTGTGCTGGTCAGTGAGCTTCCTCTGGAAGGATCGATCTAGTCGAGTAGGACCGAAAATAGATTGGCTGATATTGCTGGCTCGCTTCAAGGAAGAGTTGAGACTTTATACTTATGAGAATGTGGCATCTGGTTATATAGTATACCTCTACTTAGTCATTTACTTTGAGTTGTAAATTTTGATGTAATGACTTGTAGACTTTGGTATGGATTTTTCGAGGGTCTCAGTTAATTTGATCAAGCAAACTTCATCCAAAGGATAATTACTGATAATTTCCCCCAAATTTCGATATTGTATAATTCTATCAATGTCCATAGTGATATATATAAATTGTAAGTCAAAGATAATTAAGAAAGGTACAATGATGGTGAGAATAATTTAAAAGCAATGCAACTTGATTCTAATTTATCAAATCATCATCATCTTGCAATATTTTATGGTAATCAAGTTATCGAAAATGCATTGGACAACTTTGTTCAACTAGGGTGAAAATGGAGGTAGTTGAGGACTTTTCTTGAGAGAAGTTGACATGACGAAAAATTGAAAGCAAAAAGTATAGTAATAAATTAATGTATCTTTCATGCAATTGGTCATTGAAAAACTGAAGAAATGGAAGTATGTCTAGGTTCTCTTCATAGACAAGCAGTGAATCCACCACTCCTCCCGAAAATTATATAATACTGAGAAAAATAATCAAAGAAATGGCAATTTCACTTTCATACACATCTCATTTCTCTTCTCTGAACCTTCTCCCTCTCTCTCTCTCCTACTAAAAAAAAAAAAAGAGAAAAGATCTCCTTGGACCTCCCGAGGAAGAAGAGAAACTGAGAGGGAAGATTAGAGAGGGAGTTGGCAAAAACCCAAGAACTCGAGTGCGAAAGAGCTCTCTCCAAGGCTTGCAAACATACCCTTCTCTTATCATTTCTCTGTAAAATCTACCTTTAGTTTCTTTATTTGTTCTGGGCTTTTGTTTCTTTCCCAGAAAATAAATACCCTTTTATACCCCATTCATTTCAAGAGACAGTTGTTACGGTTTTAGTCCAAGTTCATTAAACCTCAAAAAGATTCAATTTTTTCGATTTTCATGGATCCTTGAATGGTCGATTAGTTGGTCGTTGATCTTGACGCACTGGGGGGAGAAGTCACTGATGGTATTGATTCACTTCCTTTCAGTGAAATGAATTTGGCCAATAGCTGTTGTTTGTGTTGTTATTTAGGTTGTTTGGTCCGAGCTTTGTTCATATTCTTTTCTGGTTGATTGTGTTTTATGCAGCCTGTAGCAGGCAAGGGAAGTGATGGAGACAAGAGGAATAAGAACTTTTACAGTGGGCCACAAATTCGATGGGATGTAGAGAACAAACAGCTCTGGAATATTGATTGGGTAGCTGGTCAGTTGGATCTTGGTATCTTTATTTGATTAGTGCAGAAAGTTTACACGGTTGGATGCAGGTTTAGATCTTCTGGTAGTGCACAAGGTCGTTTCAATTTATTCAAATTGAGCAGCTAGCTAAACTTGGAACTGGAGAGCCAGTAGTTCAAGTTGCTTCATTTATACTAAAGAAAAGATTCCTGGGATCCTTTCGTGAGCATGTCCTGATCAGCGAAGTGAGAAACTTGGGTTGGGAGGATTTGCAATGTCGAGAGCATTATTAGCTCTAGGACTCTTGTTCATAGCATTATTCATTTCTTTGGCCTCCGCTGTCTCTGGCGCAGATAGTGACTTTGTGAATTGTAACTGTGACGATGAAGGAGGCGGGTTCTGGACTGTACACAGCATTCTTGAGTGCCAGAGAGTGAGTGATATCTTGATCTTTGTTGCTTATTTCTCGATTCCCATCGAACTCCTTTACTTTATCAGCTGCTCGAACTTCCCCTTCAAATGGGTCCTTGTCCAGTTCATAGCATTCATAGTCCTTTGTGGGTTGACTCATTTGCTCAATGCTTGGACTTATTACGGCCCACACTCGTTCCAGTTGATGCTTTCCCTTACTGTTGCAAAGTTACTCACGGCTTTGGTCTCATGTGCCACTGCTATAACCCTCCTTACTTTGTTCCCTCTTCTTCTCAAATGGAAAGTGAGAGAGCTTTTCTTGAAGCAAAATGTCATGGAGTTGGACCAAGAGGTTGGGATGATGAAGAAAAAGAAGCTGGCGAGCCTCCACGTCAGAATGCTCACCAGGGAAATTAGGAAGTCCCTTGACAAGCACAATATACTGTACACCACTCTGGTTGAGCTCTCCAAGACATTGGGTTTGTACAACTGTGCTGTATGGATGCCGAATGAGAAGAGAACTGAGATGAACCTAACCCATGAGTTGCAACCAAATTCTGACAGCCGTCATTTTTCCATCCCTATGAATGACCCAGATGTGCTAGAGATCAAAGCTACTAAGGGGGTTACCATTTTGAGGTCAGATTCTGGACTTGGGTCTGTAAGCAGCGGCGGTGGTACTGAGGCATCTGGCGCAGTGGCTGCAATCAGGATGCCGATGCTTCGAGTTTCAGATTTCAAAGGCGGTACTCCGGAGTTCATAGACACTTGTTATGCTATCCTGGTTTTGGTCCTTCCGAGTGCAGGTTCCTGGACCTACGAAGCAATGGAGATAGTGGAAGTGGTTGCTGATCAGGTAGCAGTGGCTTTATCCCATGCTGCAGTTCTCGAAGAGTCCCAGCTGATGAGGGAGCAGTTGAGTGAGCAGAACCGGGTGCTGCAACAAGCTAAGAAGAACGCGATGATGGCTAGCCAGGCAAGGAACTCATTTCAGAGGGTGATGAGTCATGGGATGAGGAGACCAATGCACTCGATTATCGGATTGCTCTCGATGATCCAGGATGATGAAAATATGAGCTTTGACCAGAAAATTGTTTCTGATACATTGATGAAAGCCAGTAACGTTCTTTCGACTTTGATTGGTGATGCGATGGAGATTTCGATAAAAGATACAGGGAGGTTCCCCCTAGAGATGAAGCCATTTCGGCTACACTCCATGGTCAAGGAAGCTGCTTGCCTTGCCAAGTGCTTGTGTGTATACAAGGGGTTTGGATTTGAAATCGATGTTGAGAGTTCTTTGCCCGATTTAGTGATAGGGGATGAACGAAGGGCTTTCCAAGTAATTTTGCATATGTTTGGTTATCTTTTGGATCTGTATGATGGTAGGGGAACCATTGTATTTCGAGTTCTCTTGGAGAGTGGTAGCGGCGGAGGAAAGAATGATAGAATGTTGGGGATGTGGAAAGCAAATGCTCCTGATGAATATGCATCTATAAAGTTTGAGATTGAGATTAGGGAGGAGAGTTCATCAATGACGGATGGGCCGATGTCAGCTGCTGCACAGAGGAGGCAGGCCGGTCCTGAGATTAAGGAAGGTCTTAGGTTCAGCATGTGCAAGAAGCTAGTTCAGGTCAGTCTGTTTGTCTCCCTATATCTGAATAATTCATTATGTCTATGTGCACACATGAACCATAAATGGTTAGGGTATAGTAACATATTTGCTCTATATTTGGCACCTGAAGTGTGAGGATAAATCTGAAATACACAACCTCTGAAGTTCTGAAATCCATAATTTATTTGCTTTACTGGTTTCTGATCATAATACTGAGTTATATAGATTATGCATCTTTGCCCGTTTCAGTCTTCCTTGTGATGTTTATTGGCACAAAATAATTCTTACTACATATTTGACAGCTTTATTATCGAATGGATTTAGATTATCTGAGGGTCATGATCTTACATCATGTTGTATGAGTTACAAATACAACAAGGAGTTGCTTGTGCTCAAGTAACTTGGTTTTAGATTTTGCACTTCTTTTTATATGCAAGCCTAGTCTACGTTGATGTTGCTATAGCCTGAATCTGGTTGCTGATCTTGCATTTTTGTTTGCTTTTTCGGGTTTACTGAGATATGTCACTAAATCTGCAGATGATGCAAGGGAACATATGGGTAGCTCCAAATGCCTTTGGGTTTGTACGAAGCATGAACCTTGTCCTCCGGTTCCAAACTAGACCATTATCTATTGGAAGGTCATCTGCTTTCATTACCTCTTCAGAACAACAGCCAACTACACCTCAACAGTTCAAAGGCCTCAAGATTGTGCTAGCTGACGATGACAACGTGAATCGAACTGTAACCAAGAAGTTGCTGGAGAAACTTGGATGCGAAGTCACTGCCGTTGCTTCAGGGTTCGAGTGCCTAAGCACTCTGAGCTCCGAGAACTCCGTTAGGGTAGTCATTCTGGATCTCCAAATGCCTGAAATGGACGGCTTTGAAGTTGCCTCGAGGATTAGGAAGTTCCGGAGCCGGAACTGGCCATTCATTATAGCCCTGACGGCTAGTGCGGAGGATAATATATGGGAGAGGTGCCTGCAGTTGGGGATGAATGGCGTGATACGAAAACCCGTCCTTTTACAAGGAATGGCTGAAGAACTTCGAAGGGTTCTTCAGGTAGCTGGGTAGCCCAGAAGGAGAGGAGATATCCAGTTATTCAATATGAATATACAGACATGATTCATGGCATTGAACAGTTTAAAAAGATCCGTGGCCGCCGGTGGCCACGTTGAAATGTAACGTCTTTCAGCACGCAGATGGTATAGATATTAGATAGTGTACTTTTTCCTTTCCGTGCTACCCATTTTCCTGTCTAGAGGTTCTATCAAAAAGGAATTGTGACTGAACATTTAGGCACAGTTTAGTGATCAGAATACCAAGGACTTTACGAAGTAAACAAACACTTTTTTCTCCACTGTGTTTCTTGCTGGTAGGGCTTTTCAAACAAACCTGATATTTTGGTGATTGAGTTAGCTTGATTTGGTTAAAATTAAGTTCCTTTGATTTAGGTGATCTAGTTTGTTTGTAAAATTTGCTAACAGGCTATCATTATTGTTAAACACCAATGTCCACTAATTCATTCCTTCTAGGCAAGTTATCAGAAGACTCACTCACTTTTAATTCAATTCAATTGTATTCGAAGACAAGAATAACACTGGGAAAACTTAATTGGATTTCAATCAATTGTTCAAGGATAATTCTCACAAAGGAAAGACGAACAATTGAAGAAGGAAGAACCAGAAACGGAGCTACGCTCAGATAAGCTTGAGTTCCTAGCTGAAAGCCTCAACTCAAGCTTTCCAGACACTAAAACCCGAACCCTAACCTGTTCTCCCAAAGAGCTGCCCTGCTCTTACTGAGAAAGGAAACCGTTGCCGAAATCTTCCTTGAGTTGTTCTTAAGTAGGCCTCCGATCTCTGTCTTCGCTCTCTCTCTTCATCAATGAATCGACCGTTGATAGAAGCTTTGAACCCGATGACAATTGACTGACAGATGATTCCTTCTTTTGGTGTTTGAAGGTTGGAGATGAGAATGAAGGCGAAGATGCCTTTGGTGGTCTCGTAGTTGACCGAGGGTATGTTTGGGCTTGGGACGTGGGTTTCTGGATAAGTCAGTCGAGACCACAATGGGCCAGGGGCCCAACAATCTCCCCCTACGATCAAGCTTTCATTCCTGTAGACCATTCAGCACCAAATCAATGTATCAAGAATACAGTTTTAAAGACACAAACCAGAAAGATGTTCCTCACATGTTTTCACATTCATGACAGCTTCTAAGACATCATTATGTTTAATATAAGACAACAGAGAACCTTAAAGATGATAAGACAGTAGAAACACTTATCAGGCAAGAACCTTAATGATCTTTTATTCTGGAGACCAAATCGAAATACTCATCACTTAGACCCTTATGGTCTTAAAACATTTTCACAGCAGCTCATCAGAACAAAATGGACAATTACATAGACCATTATGGTCTTTTATTTTAAGGTAGAGACACAAAGCACACAATAAGATCAGTTTATTCTGTTTCCAGGTAGTTTTCTTTAATCATCTGGGACTAAGTTTTCTTTTGGCTCCCCCTGAGTCCCAGCATCCCCTTCCATCTCATTCTCCCCATGGGTTCGAGCATCTACTTCCATCACATTCTCCCCCTGAGTTCCAGACACACCCTCCATCATTTCCTTCTCAAGTTCTTCAGCAAAGAGGCGGATTTCCTCCCCAGACACAGTTTCAGGTTCAAGCTCAGCTTCTTCTTCTTCAAAAGAGATAATCAGGTTTTTTCGAATGGAAGATGATTCTCCAAGCTGCAGGGATTTTGACTTGTGCTTGGTGAGCCTGACAGCGCCAGGGTCGAATGATTCTCCCCCTTTCGAAGGCTGAGGTTCGACTCCAATATGGTTCAGGACAGTAATGGCTGGAACAAAAACAGATGTCTCGACAGAGGAGTATCCATCGAGGGAGAGACCCAGATTGGATAACAGCAGGGTGATGAATCCTCCATAAGGAAGACGACCATCGAGATGAGCATCAGCACTTCGAACTATGGAGCCAAAAAGGAGTTGGGAGTAGTCTATTTTTCTGCCAGTCAGGGCATTGGAAAGGACCCAGAGGTCAAGTTTGGTAACAATGTGAAGGCCATAAGTTCGAGGAAGGAAGAGGTGAGTGATAAAATAATGGAGAGTGCGAAGGGTGGGGTTCAGATCAGCAGAAGTGATCACTTCATGAGCACCAACTCGTCGTTGAGTGACACGAGAGTATTCAACCTCATAATCAAAGTCATAGAAGAGGAATTCATCCTCATGAGCAAGAGGAAGAGGTCCTCCAACAGGAAGATTCAGTAGAACACCAATTGCCTCAGCAGTGAGGAAAATGAAGTAACCATTGACTAGGGTAGTCAGTTTTCTGGTGATGATACCTTGGCAGTCAAGGTTTGCATAGAAGGTTTTGACAGGTAAGGGACAAGCAGCAAGGGAAGGATAATGGAGAAGGAATTCCCATCCCAGGTTCCTAATAAAGGGAGAAATGTCGATCCCAGATGCTTTGAATTCATAAAGATCAAGGGATATAGGATCATAAAGTTTGCGGGAGGCAAAGAATTCCTTGAATCTATGAAGGTTGAACTCGATAGGCTCATTGAAAGTTCTCCCAACATAGGTAACTATTGCTCCAGGGATGTTGGAAGAGGTGAAAAGCTCAGTCATGATGGGATTGAAGATGGCAAAGCATAAGTTGAACGGAGAGGATAGGCATGGTATATATACTAGGAGTGAGGAATACTAAGAGTTATCATAAAGATTTAGGAGGAATACTAAGAGCAACGGTCAAAAGACTGCAGCTTTTCAAAACATGGGGAATTCAACCAGCACATTCATGAACATACACGCAATCAAAGCAGGAAATCTATCATAACTAAAGTATTTATTGAATGTAAATAGAGAGCAAGGAAGGATAGTACCTGGTTTAATGACCATTCTGAATCGAGTGAAGGAACTGTAGTCCAAGTTCATCACAAAGTTTTATGAATCTTTCAGAAGATAGTGCTTTTGTAAAGATGTCAGCAATTTGAAATTCAGTAGATATGAAGTTTAATTCTACAAGGCCAGCTTGGATTATGTCTCTAATGAAATGATGTTTGACTTCAATGTGTTTTGTTCTACTGTGGTGAACAGGATTTTTAGACATGCAAATGGCACTTGTATTGTCACATAGAATAGGGATTTTGTCAAAACAGATTCCATAATCAGATAATTGAGATTTTAACCATAGTATTTGTGTACAACAGCTGCCAGCAGCAACGTATTCTGCTTCAGCTGTTGACAGCGCAACAGACCCTTGCTTTTTACTTGACCAGGACACTAGAGATCCTCCAAAAAATTGACAAGTACCACTGGTACTTTTTCTATCAGTGATGCTTCCAGCAAAGTCAGAGTACCCTATTAGTGACACAGCCTCAGATTTTGGATACCACAATCCAAGATCATGAGAGCCTTTAAGATATCAAAAGATTCTTTTTACTGCAGTTAGGTGACTTTCCTTAGGTTGACTTTGAAATCTAGCACATAAGCAAACACTGAACTGAATGTCAGGTCTGCTAGCTGTTAGATACAATAGTGAGCCTATCATTCCTCTGTACCTTTTTTCACAGACTGATTGTCCATCAATATCATGATCTAGATGAGTGTTAGATGCAATATGTGTTTTACTGGGTTTAACATTCATTAAGTCAAATTTAGCTAGCATAGACTGGAGGTACTTTGTTTGATGAATGAAAATCCCAGAGTCAGTTTGATGAATTTGCAGACCAAGAAAGAATGTTAATTCCCCCATTAGGCTCATTTCAAACTGATTTTTCATTGAGGAACAGAATTCATTACACATACTAGGATCAATGCTGCCAAAAACAATGCCATCTACATACACCTGAACTATCAAGGAATGATTATCTTTTCTTTTAATGAAAAGAGTTTTGTCAACTCCACCTTGACAGAACCGTTGAGAAACAAGAAAGGATGTTAATTTTTCATACCAAGCTCTGGGAGCTTGTTGAAGACCATAGAGAGCTTTGGAAAGTTTGAAAACATGGTCAGGGAATTCATGGTCAATAAATCCAGGAGGCAGCTCAACAAACACATCTTCCTTAATTTCACCATTCAGGAAAGCACTTTTCACATCCATTTGATAGAGTTTAAAATTCATGAGAATAGCATAGGCACACAAAAGTCTGATTGATTCTAGCCTAGCAACAGGAGCAAATGATTCATCATAATCAATTCCCTCCTCTTGACTATATCCCTGAGCAACTAGTCGAGCTTTGTTTTTAATAATAAAGCCTAGTTCATCAGATTTATTCCTAAAGATCCACTTGGTGCCAATGACTAAAGTGTTTACAGGTCTAGGAACAAGTTCCCAAACCTTTAATCTGATAAAATGTGACAATTCTTCTTGCATGGCAAGTAACCATTCTTCATCAAGAATGGCTTCCTTATAGTTCTTTGGTTCAAGTAAGGAAACGAAGGCATACTGACCTGGGGTGTACTTACCTCTGGTTTGGATTGGATCATTTATTTTCCCTATAATTTGAGAGGGAGGGTGCCTTTTCTTGATATGTGCTGGAGCTTCAGTATCCTCAGAAGAAAATGTTTCATCAGAAGTTGCTTGGGGACTGGAATCGTTTTCAACAGGATTCTGATGATTTGATGAATCTCCTGTCTCAATAAAATAGGAAGGAAATCATAGTTATTTATATCTGCACTCAAGGGAAGAGGAGAGTCAGATGAGTCAAATTTAATATGAACTGACTCCTCAACCTTTCTCGACTTTCTATTAAAAACTCTGTAAGCTTGACCTTTACTTGAATAGCCAAGAAAGATGGCAATGTCAGACTTTGCATCAAATTTTCCTAGTTGATCCTTGGTGTTCAAGATGTAACATTTTGATCCAAAGGGTTGAAAGTAGGAAAGTTTAGGTAATTTTCCCTTCAAAATTTCATATGGAGTTTTATTAATAATTTTTCTAATGATGGTTCGATTTATCACATAACAGGCAGTGCTCACTGCCTCTGCCCAAAGAAATTTAGGGCAATCAAATTCAAGCAACATGGTTCTGGCAGATTCAATAAGGGATCTGTTTTTCCTTTCTACAGCTTCATTTTGTTGAAGAGTTCTGGGGGCAGAAAAGGTGTGCAGAATACCATAGTGATCACAAAAACTACAGAAATTGTCATTGATGAATTCTCCACCATTATCACTTCTGATGCTTTTAATAAGACAGTCAAACTGATTTCTCATAAGAAGCACAAAAGATATAAACTTA